GTTTGGTCGTCAAGTTTTTACATAAGTAAAGTTTCTTTGCACGCTTCTGTTTTAAAATATATGTCAGTCGAAGACTGGGAAATATTTATGTTCGCTCACAGTTATTCGCTTAAATTACGTGTTAGCTTTAACATTGAACAATAAAATGCCAGCTACATCACTGTTTTTCTCTTTCTCTCTGTCACTTGTTCGCAAATATTTGCATTGTTTTGCGAGAAACGCGATACTGTTGTTCGGTCGTTTTCAGAAATTTGTAAATATGTAACAATTGTTTTTGTGAATAAAAAGATAGCGGTTACAGTATAATGTATATAAGATTACGTGGTATAACATATATAAATATGTACGTAGACAAGTACGTAAATATGCAGTAATTATGTAAAAAAGATTGCCATAGCTCTTATTAACATAACATTAGAGTTTTATGCATTAATAATGTATTAATAATTAGTTAGTATTAATTTAAATTATTCTTGACATTATAACAGTTTTAATGTCTAATTAATTAATAACATGTATTTATTGTTTTAATTAATATTGTAATTTCTAGGTACACTTAGATTTTTAAATTAAATCAAGTATATTTGATATTCGTGTATAATATTAGTATATTCGAATATATAACCTTTTAATTACAATCTTTTACACAAAATTGCTCTTGTTGACTAATTAATTTTTATTGTTAATAAAAAATCTGTTTTACTCCCGCGTAATAATTTCTGTTAGTGTATGCCTCTTTTGATCAGTTATCGCCGTTGACTTAAAACGTTTTTATAGCCGGTGTATTAGACAAATCACATATTCCGAGCGACATCGGGGAACGATAAATTATTTACTATGTTAAGCAGGAGTTATCATACCAAATTGAGATTAGAACGTCAGGGCCGACATTCAAGAAGCAAATACGATTGAAGAAAATTTCTCATGGATGTTATGCAAGCTTAAGGTCATCTTCTAAGCATCGCCCTGTTGAGATAAGAACTTTACTATACTCGTGTGTTTAGTAAATAATACAGGCGCCTATTTTCGCACCAAACAAGACTGTTTTAAAACATTTCAGATACATTTTTCGACAACACGAGACATGTAAACAACATAAAGCATGTAAATTCGTATCTTAAGCAGGAAAAACGTGTCCCCTCTGGTCTCAAAGTTTCTTACATGGAGACACGTCGGCAGAACCGATGATTTTGTATATGGTGCAAGCAATATAAGCAATAAGGACATAGCACATTGTGTTATTAAAAGATGCTATATTTATCCATATTTATCAGAGGTTAAACGTTAGATAACTCGAAGATTGCATAGAAAATTAATTTTAAGTTAATCCAGAAATGCTCTTCGAAGAATTGAAATTCTTTCCGGTTTTGCACATTGTTCTCTGTCACGCTGATCTTTCAATTGTTACAATAAAATTTCGTGGGGATTAAAGAATTGCGATTAGAGCTTGTAAAATGTAAATTATTTTATTTTTTACCTGCAGGGAAAAATACTGGACCACAATATTATCGCATGACCCCGAGCTTTTTTGACCATTTGGAGACGAAGGAGGAAAGATGACTAGTAAGAGAATGAGTTATGCACCATAGATAAGGGATCGAAGAAAGTGATTTTTTGTGCGTGTGTGTTTGCGTGGACCACGCTTCTCCCTTTATCTGGCGGCGGCAGAATAATTGATTCGCCAAGCGCGCGAACGAGGAAGGGATGTGAGAGTTCGATGACTTATGATATCGCGTAACTGTCATAAAACTAATTAGTAAAAATAAATTCTCGTCAGCTCGCGCGCGCTCTGCATAAATATTCATGGCGGGTGATCGAGAAACGGAGTAGCACAATATGTAAAGCCGCATTAAATTTAATAATTACAGATTTGTTGAGACATACTCGTTGAAATTTTGCCGCTAATGGATCTTTGAAGTAATTGCCATACACTCTTGTCGGAATAATACAGAACTAAGGGAAAAGTTAACGTTTCGTTTGATATACACATATAAGGGCGATACATAACCGAGAAGAAACCTCCAGATTGCACACAAAGTTGAGTGATCTAATATCAGAAAGAACGCTGGCGGCGATCTTTTTTTGAGGAGACTTAAATTGATAATTGCTACCAATTCCGTTCTCGTCAATTGTCAAACGCATTGATTAAAACCTTTTTCATGCCGAGGCCTTTCGCACACTGTCGCAGTGGAAAGCAACGAAGTAAAAATTTGACGCTGATCGCTGTAAATATATTCTCTGCCAAATTTAGACCCGCCCAATTTTTATCTCATAAAAGTTTCACTCAAAAGTTTCGATTTTAATTATCTGTCCCAGAAAACGGACGCACTGCAGTACGGCGAAAAACCAAGCTAGGCGTTATCAAAGATTCTGTTCGCGCTTTTCATTGACGTTTTCATAATCTTCTATTAAATTAATTGAAAAGAAAATTAACGAAATGTAAATATTTTCAGAAATTCGGACCGCGCGTAAAGTCCGCGATGCGCGGCACGACGATGCGATCGGTCATAATCCATGTAATGAAGAATAATCCGAGTCGACGAAGGCGGCGCGCGAAAGAACGACGTTTTCGTCCTTCTCCGTAAGAAAGGGATTAGATGGCCCTGTATCCGTTACGTGCTCGTCTTTCATCCTCGACGCTATGCTTATGGGCTGCCATGATGCGCCGTCGTGTAGTTAAGTTAATTAATGAATGGTACAGTCGGGCTGGAGAGTGGACTTAAATTGATACGTCCTTCGCCGCTCGCGCACAGCCATTTTCGTGCCGCCGCCGACGCTGGGTTCGCGGCTGGGGATGCTGAGGACGGTATCAAAGTGCATTGCTACTTTTCCCTTTGTCCGGCGCTTTTTTTGACATTGTTACTTTATTTTCCGATATTAAGTATCGACGCGTGGTAGTATGCGTGGAGATGCAATGCATTTCTGATAATGCGCTTATTTGCATGGATATTTGTTATTTTCCTCGACAATTTTACTTCCTTGTTATCGCAATCGATTGTTGTCAAAGATATACGTTTTTTTTTGTTGAGAATGACTGATAATGCCAATGCTTGCGTTATTGAAACGAAAATGATTCTATTAACCTAAGCGTGTTTACTCGAAGTGCGCGATTTTCTTGCATTTCCGACAAATTAGTAATTCGATAGAAAAAAACTGCGTCACTGCGGCAAGGATACACGTACGTGCGTGGCATCGCCGAGGAGCGCAACTAGGTCGCCGGTGTGACAAATCAGTTCACCGACACAACTTTCAAGAATCGCAAAGCGATCTTTAAATATTCCTCATTAATTAACATGTCGCGTCGATGATAATACTCACGCTTGACATGAAAGCCAATTAGATGGCGCAGCGGCGAGTACAAAGCATTCGGTGAACATACGAAACGTCATTGTACGTCTGTTAAGAAAATTTCTAGAAAATTGAACAGCTCGTTTGAAACCATGATTTGCAATAAGTAAACAATGTTTATTTTTTATACTTAAAAAATGTATGATTATGAAATGTATATTATATATATATAATATTTATTATATAATATAATAATATTTTTGCACCGGTCAGAACTTTTCTGAGCTAAGATCGGATTATCGGTGGACTAATTCAATTTCAGCACTTCCAACAGTTGTAAAAAATATTCTGCTAAACGCGACCAATGTTAACTCAATACAATTATGTTTTCTGAATGTTGAATTGTAACGTTTGCAAGACATTACAATTCAACGGACATTAGACGCTTTTGCAATATCCTATGCCTAGTAATGTAGATACATTTCATTGATTCCTCTTAGGGTTACAAGGCGTTTTTGAAGGAACGTGCCCAAACCTCTTATAACACCTCTCTCTATATCCACTTTTCTATGTGGCGATCGAACGAAAAACCAACAATGTTTTGTTTGATTTTGAACCCAGATCTTCGGATTACCAGACCAGCGCACAATCCTCTGCGCCACGATCGCCACGCTTTTGCAATATCCTTTGAATGTTGAATCTACATTTCGTAACATTGATGCAATATTGCAATATGGTAATGGAACGTTTATGGGATGTTGATTCAATATTTGTGTGCTGTATGGGTAATTAGTTGTATCACGTGTTTATCACGTGACACATTTAATATTAATAATAATTATTATTATTAATATTATATCCGAATTGACACAATCGTGTCTCAAGGAATGTAACGTGCATTTTTACAATAAGACAGCAAGATGTGGTGGCCGTACGAAAGGTAGCCATAAATTACACTGATAAGAGCAACGAAAAGTTTCGTACAGACCGAAACGCCGTGATCAGCTCGTAATTGCGCGGCATTGCAACTTATCGGCTGTCAATTAATTTCGATACACACCGCCGACCGGAGTGAAGAAAACAAACTGTCACCTCTTTACCAAACAAAAGATCTATCTTATTTCGTATATACATACACAAAAGTATAATACATTCGCGCCGTTTCTTATCTCAGCGAAAATTTATACACTCCGCACTGAAATCCGCGGGTTGCAATTGGACGACATGTTTCCTCGATTATAACATCTGAGAAACAACGTTAAAATTCCATTTCTAAAAGGGTAGCTTTTTGTCAGGAGGGAAGAGCACCGCTGTCCCTCTAAACTTCAGAGTCTCCTCCTCGCGTGAAACCGCTTAGCGTTGTTTGATCACGGAGGTGTCAATTATTTACCCGAGCCGATATCCAGCCTCTTCTTCTTCTAAGTTTACCCTTTTGTGGAAACGCCTTTTACCCGTTAGGTCATATCAGCGCGATATTTCTAAAGATTCGTTGAAATTCATGCTTAATCTCGATTAAACACTGAATCCAACACTAGACGCTTAAACTCCTTCAAGCGCGGAATTTTCGAAATTTTCCCTTAACGGGAAAATATGCGGGACGAGGGCCGGGCTCGAACCGGGGACCCTAACCATTGCTAATAACTCGCATTGACACAGAGCTACATTATCACCCCAACCAGCCTCTTCTCATCGCACGGGATTAGGTCTCCTACCTGCGTGAGATCCAGGTTCGGGCACTTGGAGGCGCATTCCTCCTGGAGATTGGCCGGGGTGGGAACGGCGCGCTCCTCCAGATCCTCCGGCAGGACCGCGACGACCGCCCCTGCCAGCGCCAGCACCTTCAGCAAAGAGCATAATCCCGTTCCTAACATAATAACCCCCTCCCCCTCCCCCCCCGCGGATCCTTGGGCACGAGCAGCTTCCGCGCGATTCCCGATCGGCAGAGTTCAGCCACCGATGGTCATCGCTCCTCCCGATCCTCTCGGCGAGCCGCGACGACGCGCTTAATCGAGACGATGCCTCCGCATGGCCCCTCGGCGAGGATCCTTCGAGACGCGTCGCGACGCCCGTCGTCGTTGCGTCACGTGCCGCGCGAGCGCATCGGCAAGTGCGTCGAAGTTGCGGAGCAGATTGGCCGCTTCCGCCAAATATCCGGAGGAAAATAACGAGGGCGACGCCAGGCGTCCCGGCAGAGCGCACGTTGCGCAGTTATCGTCAACTGAGCGCAGCTCTACCGTCGAGTGATCCGAATAACAATGGGATCCAGCGCGATATCACTCGCTGAGTGCGCCGCTATCAATTTTCCCTCGTTATCACCGGGAAACCGTTTTTCCATGTGCTCGGTGAGCCGAGCACTTTGTTGTACTCCGAAGGTATTTCCTTCTCTCCCGATTTTGTTCTACTCCGAAGGTTTTTCCTTCCCTCCCGACTTTGTTGTACTCCGAAGGTTTTTCCTTCCTCGCGGTGTCTCTCACGATCGAATCGCGGAACTGCCGATAAGCAGATAGCCGCGGTGTTTTTCTCTTTCCCGCGACGCGAACCCGATGACGGCGAGAGGTGACGCGTGTGCATCCGGTTGCAACGGTGGCAGTGTATAACACGCTAATATAATCAGTCCCCTTCCGCAGTTTCTTTCAACCGGCGAAGCGATCGAGCGATAAGAAACGGGCAACGATCGGCGGCTCGGGTAAACTGCGCCGATCGAGAAACTTCGTCTTCGCGACACCAGGCACAAAGTCCACCTCTGGTCTCAGCACTGCGAAATGTTCGCCACATCCACAGCCAGTCCTTCGGTCGCGACACCGCAGAAAGTCGCAGGATCACCCGTCACTTTTCTCGCGCGAATTTCACTGCCAGAATTTTCGGACGCACCTGTCGCTCCTCGCGGAAATGCGTGATTATTGCAATCGTTCTGCTTTTTTTTTACTGCACGCGCGCGCTTCGGAATCCGCTGTTCCCTCCTCGTCGCTCTCGACACGGTCCGTGACGTTCGCGTCACGCGGTTCGAGCCGAGCGGCGCGCAACGCGATCGCGCTGTTCGTGGCTGGCGAGCATAAGAGCAACTGACTCCGAATGGCCACTCCAGAGTCAACCATCCCCCACCATGCCAGGAGCACCCTTATCTTCCTCCGGTCGCGACCAATTCTCCTCGGCAAAGGTACTCCGCGCCACGGAGCGCGCGCCTCTGTGTGGGTGCCGGGGGTGCGAGGGAGGAACGATCCGGAAAGATCCGTTCGTTCGCGCGGTACCGACTCTACTGGCTGGCTGGTCAATTGGCAGATTGACCTGTTCTTACTATCCTCGTAAACTTTCATTCATTCATTCGCACGTGCCGCTAGCTGCCGACCGATAGTTTTCTTTCGGGATCTTGAGAAGCTCAACGAACGCTCGTGAGTCATACGAAACGCCGCGAAGGGCGACCGCGAAGTAGAAATGTGCGATTCAAGGACTTGCGATGTCGATTCGAATCGAATCGAATGTCCTTTTTCGAATCCGAATCGAAACGCATCGGCGAAACTTCACCCAAATCGAAGCGAATCAAATTAAGTCGAATTAAATAGTTGAAATATAATTTTGCATTATTACATCGAATTTTCACACGTAGATAATAGGACAAATATTTTTATGAGAAAAATTAGGGCTATTACTTTTAATAACTTCGAAGCTTTGAAGCTTCGAAAAATTTATTCGTGCGAGTGGCGAATTTATTCAAAGAACACTAAAAATATTGCAAATAAAAAGTATTAATTTTTATATGTTGAAAAACAGGTAATTACTTCTGAATTATAATTTTGAAGTATTATAACATGTATATTACATATTTGTTTAATTATCATCGATATAATAAATCGAACAATAAAATCGAAAATCAAAGCTTCAAAGATTTCGAAAGTTCAAATGTCGAAGCCTTCGAAGAAAATCTAGTCCTAATAAAAATACAACATATTTTCATCAATGTCGCAATAACTGAAACAATTTGGCGAAAAATCATAAATAAATTATTAAAATATTGTAGTGCGATATTTAATGGAATAGTTCCCACGTCTCTATATATGACTTTGCGCGCAAGGAGAACGCAAAGTATGTACTTTTTAAAATATAATACACACAGTGCTTTTTATAGAAATAAATTGCGTTAAGTCCCAATGTTCTCAGAAGCGAGATTTTTCATTTTATGAATCAACTTGTCGAATCCTGTTAGTCACAAACAATTGTAATGCCTTAATTTTATACATTTTCCGTTAAATAATGTGATGTCGTGTTAGGTCTTTTTTTCTTATTCAATAATAGCTACAATCGGGACAATTATTAATTTTCTTCTAAAAAACGTTAGTAAATGACATTTTTTAGTGAAAACGTTAACTGAGAAAAGTCGAAGTACGGTGCTGACGTCAAATTGAGGGATAAAAACTTGAGGAGAAAAACATTAGGAGAAAGAATCCTCTGTACAAAATTTACGTTTTAGCGAGTTAACGAGTTTACTTTGGAGGCATTGGTATAGATGTTTAGTTTCTTCTGCTTCTGCGGCGTGTTCATGAAGAGGAAGTCTTTGAATTTGCATACGTAGTGTACAAGTTGAAGATTGAATCGAACAGTTAGATATACGTTCTCGAGGGAACCTTCTTCGGGTCATCGCGAAGAAAGGAGCGTCGCGCAACTGACAATGGTACCACAAATACTGCGACTGGCTTTCGTTATCCGCAGATTTAATCTGTCGAAATGAATCACCATTTTGATGAGCTCACGGCTAACAAACATGTTTACGAGAATAACAGTCGATGAGGGGCTAAAGGGTTCGCAGAAGCGCAAGACTGAACCTAAATTCGCCGACAATTAATATGTCAGAAGTTTTTCTCTTAGACCCGTTAAAAGCGATAAGTAAGGAAGAAACTATTACATTGCCAATTAATGTACCACAAAAGTAAATGAATATATTTATTACATTTAACTTTCTTTTTTATATCACTTAGAGATGCGCTATATGAAAATTGTAAACAAAACCCGGGAAAAATTTTCACATATGATCATATACATATAATCATATATGCTCATATACGAAAAATATATAATCGTATATGATAATGTATTTGTCATATATACTGTCATATATGACAAACACATTATCATATACGATCATATATGATACACATGGTATCTTATATATGGACATTTTTCGTATATGAGCATATATGATTATACATATATGATCATATGTGAAAATTCTTTCCCGGGAATCGAGTCTTTCTCTTCGAAGAGGCCGACTTCGTCTTAGCTTTAAATTCTTTTCATAGTCGAGGGAATGTCATTAACAAGTCCTAGATGTCAAAAGTACACAGATTTTGGAGCGATGCACTCTTCTCCAAAGAACCCACACGAAAGAATTTCGTTTAATGTTCCCGTTCAAATTTACTTTGTATCGCTCGCGGCGTGAACCACCTGAAGAACGAAAGTTGCTTTACTTTCCGTTTAAGAATGGCATTAAATATTATCTTAAAACATTAGCGTCTGAAACGAATATTTAAAAAGATATTCTATTTTTAAAAATCTATTTTTCGTTGTAATAATCTAACATATGAAAAAAGTTATGAAAAAATACATGAATATAATTTTCAGTCTTTTTGGGAGGGAAGGGGGCGTGGACGCCTCTTTGAAACTAATTTAAAACTGCTTTTCACGGATAAAACTGTGACACTATATTCAAGATATAAGCGCACCAAATGCAACAAAGGAATGCGAACCGCCTCTTTAAAGCACTAAAAACGCGCTTCGCGCGCGCAGTTTGTGGTCAAGCATTGTATATTTTTAAGAATTAGTATACACGCGAAGAAGTAATTGTATGCGCAACGTCAATTTAAAATAAAAAGTAATTTGTCACTCACTGCTACGGTTCGCAACAGTAAAGTTGTACATCGCTAACTATACATGTTAAACTGTAACAATACAAAAATGTATACGATTATTATAGACTAATTATGTAAAATCCAGACTATTGTGTTAAATAGTAAAATTTGTGTTAAATACTTTATATTTAATATTTTTGAAAATGGGTATTTATTAAAATAATTATATAGAATACTGAAAGTCTCCCTTTTAAATATGAATTCACAAAATTTTATACGTATGGTTTTGTCTCTAACACTTATTCGAATCCACGTTCGAATCATTTGAATAAATAAAATAAAAGCACAAAACAGATACTTTATTTTGCACAATTAGCAAATAACAAAAATGTAAGACACTTACCTTACGATTTCTCTGCCGTTGCCCAATGCGGCCTAAGCCTGCTCCTCCTCTCAGAGATTTTCTTGTTGCACTTACACTCACACACTCACTCGCGAAAATCGATCGCGCGAAATTTCGGACACTCCCGTACGCGATGTACATAAAATACCGTGAAATGCAGTAAGCGACGTTCTTTACTTCCTGCCCGTTCGAATTACGAAGAACGACAGAACGAATTACGCCGTGAACGCCGAAGTCGCACAAATTTCTCTCCCCGAAAATGGAACAGATTACATGAAATCGATAGATAGTTAAAAGCGCGGTGCGTAAACGAGATGTAACCGCGACAAAGTATCACGGTTTACATTCATGTTTTAGATGAGTTGGTCTCGTGAAATATCTATGTACACGTTGATAAAGAGCCGTCGCTTCAACATGCAATTCGTCTCATTACAAGTTTTAGAATCTTAATAATTAATCTAGTAGCGTTACTTGTCACTGATAAAGGAGTCCAAATCAATAGCGTTTTATCCTTACATTCTTCACGATCGAGTCTTGGAGACCGACAACGCAAAAATAATACCACGCACGGAGCGACTCGTGCCACTGCTTGTCGGCTCGACGTTCGGCGAGCGAGTGAGAACGCGGCGA